CCTGTGAATGCCGTTCTAGGCATACCACCCCCGGACATAGACGAGACAGAGCTTCATCTGCCTCGGAAGACTCGCACAACACTTGCACAACTTCGCGCCGACTACTGCAGCAGGTTAAACTCCTACCTGAGTAGGTTGAATGAGGATGTGCCGAATGAGTGTCCGGCATGCGGAGAGACCCCACATGACTCGAAACATCTCTTCGCATGCCCGGAAAACCCGACAACCCTAACGGCCTTGTCCCTGTGGACAAACCCCACAGAAGCTGCACGCTTCCTAGGGTTGCCGTTAGTGGAACTTGACGACAACGACTGAGATACCAACCGTCCTGGGCGGGGTTGTTGTAGCCGCTACAATAATAACAACAACAAAAACAACAACAACAACAACAGCAACAACAACAACAACAACGAGGTAGAGTTGTGGCGTAGACGTGTCTCTGGCATACACAGCAGGTGTAGGTTTCTGGCCCTGGGTTTGACTCGATGCCAGCCCTAAGCAGAAGAATATGTAGCAATTGTAGCCCTATGGACGAACAAATTCTGAGATACCGAAACAACAGCGAATGGTCGGGGAAAACCCAAGTCATTCCGGTACGTAGAACCGGCTGTCGTGGGAATGCTTTTAACCTTCTCTTTTTTTTTGGTCGGTTAAAAATTACTTTCTTAACTTACATGTGTATATTTTACTATTTACTTAGCTAAAATCACTAGACATAAAAAATTATATGTAAGAAAAAACCCGCAGTTTTCAGATACTTACTTTTCAGCTCCGCGATCTTAAATTTACTAATATATGAAAATTTTCTTGAACTCTGCTCCCTTCTTGCTCACTCTTTATAATACTATCAATGCACTGTGTGTCCCCTTACTCCTTTCTGTCAGCCATCACGAAATCTTGGGGGAACAAAGCACTTGCAGTGTTACGTGTAAAATAACCTTCAAAATTTTACTCAAATGGAAAATTGCTAGTTCGTTGTGATCAATTACCAGAAGCGTAAGAAGATGTAGTCATAACACCGGATTTTCTAGGGGATTCAGGTATAATAACTTGTCAATTCTATAATCACAGATGGGCAAGATGTAGAGGAAATTGGCGACCAAGTCGAGCCGGACCTGCTGTGTGACGATAGTTCCACAGATGAAAATGAAGAATAAAATGATTTACGCTTATAGTAAGTGTTTACAATAATATACTTATGTTTGGTTGACTGTGCATCTCAGTTACGAAATTATTTGTTTACACCGAGAGATCAAGGAAACCGCTCCAGATAATCGTCAGATTATGTAACAGCTAGGGATAAATCGATACAAGTAAATCCAAGTACATACTCGATACTTTTCTCAATTTACCAAGTAGGTTTTTACTCGATACTTTTTACTGCGATCTAAGTAGGTATCGAAAAAAAGTACTTGTATCGGAAGCGCAAAATTTATTATGCTTCAGTATCTTTTTTTAAAAGTAACCCATTAGAGGAATGGGAAGATATGCGCACTACATTTCCGCAGCTACAGTGACGAGCAAAACTGTAACATGGTGTAACGCTTTTTATATCAGCCGCCGCTATCTTTCCAAGTTCTAACGACATTCATACTTTTGTTGTATATTTAGTTTCGTTGTATTTGCGCCGTGCTTCTCCCATGGAGCATTTAGCGATGGTTTTAATTTTTAGTATTTCCTGAGTCTGCTTAAATCTTGGACAGTCTTTATCTGAGGAGGCGTGATCGCTGTCACAGTTTGCACATTGCTTACGTGTGCAGTCAGCTGGAGAATGGGGTGGAAGATTGCAGCCCTCGCATGTGGCAGGACTGGTGCAGCGTGTTTTGGTATGCCCTAGTAGCTGGCAATTTTTGCAGCGCATGGGTGTTGGATAATATGGCGAAACTTTGACTTTATACCAAGCAATATCAATGACTTTGGGTAGGTGATAGAGGTCAAAAGATAGGACAATTTTGCCAGTGGGAATAACTTTTCCCTCGGTCATGCGAGTGAATTTGTATATACTCGTTACGCCTTGGCTTTTTAGTTCCTGCATGATTTCTTCCTCGTTTACATAGTTTAGGGAAGGAGCATGGATTACTTTTACCGTGTTTAAATTGTCTTGGTATTTTACCGTGACTTGACAAAGATTAGCAATCGTTTTTAGTTTTAAGAATTTCTCTGCTATTCTTGAGTTGCGTGTTAGTATAAGTAGTGAACCGTCTTTGAGTTATTTTATGTTTTCTATTTGAGTTGATATTCCGTCTATTGCTCTTTTTATTACGAATGGGCTTAGTTTTTGTAGTTCATTGTTGGCTGCTGTAATTGTTATGTATTTGGGTTGGTTAAGTGGTGTTTGTTTATGTGTAAGTGTGGGAAATGAGTAATCGATGTTATAGTCGTCAAATTGGCTTAGTATTGTGAATCTGTTTGTTGATTTGTCAGGTGGTTCTGGTTGTGTTGGCATTTTGTTTTTATGTTGTAGCGGTTCCTTGTTTACAAAGTGGTTGTTATAGCCTGATGCTCCACTAAGGTGCACAAAAGCGAAAATATGACAACGGGTTATTTAGTATTGTTATTACGCGAGTTAAGAACCCTTATGAATACACGTCCGAATAGTTTGAGAGTTAGTCGATGACTGAAAATAAATTATAACAATTAAGGAGCTGATGTAAATAGCTTTAAATAAATGTAGCGAACAGTTTGAGTATCACTGTAATTATGACACTTAATAAACGCAACGGAAACAGCTGTGACAAGAATTACTAGAAGTAAATAAAAAGAGTAGGACAAATGTGCAAAATCAAAATGAATTCAGTTAACTACAAAGGATACAAGAACAATTACTACGTTTATACGCACGTATTATTTGCAAATAACAATTTGCAAAATGGTAAACTTTGCCGTATAAACGCTGAGTTATTTTTTTATTTGCAAATAACTAAATCAAGCAAATAAGTATTGATTAGTGATACTATTTGCAATTAAGCGCAAGACGCCGCCATTCTTAGGTTTATTTTCTTTTTCGATGGTCATCTTATTGCCTTTTTATAATCAAGACGTTGCCATTTTTAAATTTATTTTCTTTTGCGATGGTAATTTTATGGCCTCTTTATAATCAGGCAATATTAAACAAGAATTTTCACCATCGAATAAACAGTGAGTTAGGTATTTGCGAATTATTTTTATTTGCAAATAGCTTACGTATAAACATAGTAAATGATAGCAACAAATGACTCGGCAATATTAGAATGTGTGCTAGTGAAATTTAATTAAATTTAGTTTAATATAAAACTTATATTTATTATTATTATTATTTGTTAACATAAAACACAATAACTTTCACTTAGCTTCAATTATTTCACACTAAGATGCTCATAAGCACTTTTTATCACTACTTTAACTCAGAATAAGCACAATAAACTTAGCAAATAGAAAGCCAAAATCAGAGCACTATAAAGTACAACCTCACAGCTTAACGTTTGCAAAGCAACACGATATGCAGTATAATTTTAAGCAATCCCATTGCTCAACTATTCTTGAAACTACGCCCTCCAAAGATAACCATCTTGTATTAGAAATTCCCAAAATTTTGTGAGCTTTTACTGCACAATATTCCTGAAATTCTTGAACTTCAGTTATTCTTTTGGGGCTGTGGCTGAAGAACCTGTATACATATATTACGACAAAGCGACTCAACATTTTTTGGCAAATGTTTGCTGGCATAGCTTGAGCAGAGGTGCAGTGAATGGCATGTACATTTTAAATAAGAAAAGTCAACATCTTTGCTTAATAAGGCTTTGAGACCTCCCAATTCTCCGGCCATTACGTTGGCTCTGTCGGTTGCCAAGCCAATAAAATTTTTCAAAGATATGTTATTTGCACAAAAAAAAGTTTTTAATAGCTTTGTAAATGGAAACAGCATCTTCCTTTTTAAGTTCTAATATGGCAATACAGCGATCCTGTACTACACGAGCAGCGTCAACATACCTCGCGACAAGAACAAGACTTTTAATCATAGAAACGTCGGTCGTTTCATCCACAATAAGGGGAAATTTCGTGTTTCTCAAATTTGAAAAAATTTGCTCAATTGCTGCTTAGAAATATGTTCAGCTATTGCAACTGATTTGGTTCTTCCACATTTAATGAGCTTAGCAATCGCAGAGTCCGGACAAGATTCCACAAGCAACGCTAGTAGGAAGTCCATAAGTAAAAATGGTAAATTGTGGGTGAAGCAGAACATGACCAATGTTAACTCTGCATTTCTAACTTGCTGCTGCTGTTTTTGTTGTTCCGCATCGTAAAAATTTTTCCAGAGTAAATTGTTTTTTGTGGCTGCTGTGGTTGATTACCCCTTTGAACAAGCTATACAAAATGCACAGCCATCTTTTTCATGCAGCCCGTCAAATAAACGCAGCCACTCTGTACGAAATTTTCTTTTCACTGCTTGCTGCTTGTCTTCATCACTATCAATTAATATGAAAAAATAGTATTCAGGAACAGGTTTTAGAAAATATCGGTCAAGAAGCATTTGAAATCAACTATTGGAAGCAACTCGTGTTCCAAACGGTTGGTGCACTGAATTGCTTATTACCTGCACGATGTTTCATCTCCTGTTGACTCTGTTTTCGACTGCTTTGCGTTTTTGGTTACAAACCTGAAAATGAAATCGTTTAAACATTAATTAATTGATATTAATTTACTCACTTGTCCATCGTATCGTTTTTTAATAAACCGCATGCACGCTACTTTTCTAGAGAGGTTCAATGCGCTGTGTTCGAGTGGTTACTTGTTGTGTACGCTAGTGTTGCAACCACTGCTACAGTCATATACACACATCTTATAATAGGGGTATACGTTTGTACATACAAATCAGTTACATTTACATTTTTGCGTGCGCCGTTATACGAACACACCGTTGAAATATTCTTATAAGCGTGATTGAAAAAATATTTCGAAATATATTTTCTATTTTTCGCAAATAACCAAAACCTGCCAAAATCCAATCTAGCCTACCAACCTACCAAATGGAAAATAACCTACTAGTTTTGGTAGGAAAAGCCCATGTTTGGCCACTCTGATTATAACCCTCACTAAGTAGCATTATCTTTCTGTTTTTACGAAGAAATGGGCTGAACACATTTTGCAGAGAACGCCTTTCTGCGTAGGCGGCCTTTGGCCGCGTAGTCATTATGACCCTCACTAAGTAGAATTCTCTTTCTGTTTTGCGATGAAAAGGGTCTGAACAGTTTTCGCAGAGAACACCTTTCTGCGTAGGCGGCCTTTGGCCGCGCTCGGGGATTATAACCCTCACAAAGTAGAATTCTCCTTCTGTTTTGCGACCACCTTTTGCATAGAACACCTTCCTGCGTAGGCAGCCTTCGGCCGCACTTAGGGACTATAACTATCACTAAGTAGCATTCTCTTTCTATTTTGCAAAGAAAAGGGGATGAATACCTTTGTCCGAGAACACCTTCCTGCGTAGGCGGCCTTCGGCCGCGCTTAGGGATTATAACCCTCACAAAGTTGTTGGTTCCGTGTTACTATTCAATTATGTTATTTATGTGTATAATATTTATGGGTGTGACATTTTTGTTTGTAATAATAAACAAATTTCAAACAAATGTTTCAAACATTGCCGACCCTGGTTTTGTGTGTAATATGTATGATAATAATATGATGATTCGTCAATTAAACTAAATGAACTGAATGAACTAAAGAACTACAGTCGAACTTCTATAACTGGAATTATCAGTATCCAATCAAAATGTTCGACTTATGGAGACTTCCAAGTTATAGAATATTATTGTTTTTTTTAAGAAACCACAATTATGTAAGATACATCTTAAATAATGAACACATTTATCAATTCCAAACCAAGTTCACATGTAAAAGTTACAACGAATTAAAGTAATCAGAAATGAGTGACTGAAATCCTACTTTCCTTTTCGAGTTTTCAGTAAAAAGATATTATAATTTGTTCAAAGCCTTATAGTGATCGTCAGTGGTAGTGTCATTCGTTTGCAACTATAAATTCAAACATCTGAAGCAATCTCTAACATCATCATTTGAAGGCTGGTGAATAATTTCATCCACGCAGCCCTCATAATCACTTTCCATTGCACTGAAATACGAAATCCGTTTCATATGCGTTAAAAATATTGCATTCATTGTACTTTTCTAGTAAAATTGGCAGAATTGTAGTTTTCCATTCCTCGCAGTCTTCGTCGAGAACGTCATTACTCTCACAACACACCTTTTTATGGCTCACGGAATGCCTAAAATAAAACAAAGTATCCACTTTGAACAAACAATTCATCAATTACGCTACTTTTTTGGTACTTCTGCTTCCATTTATCAAGAAAACTTTTGCTTGCCTTGAAATTTTCATCGCCAAATCGCTTTGCAAACTCCATTGCTTTGCCCTTTAATAATGCCCCGGATATTGGCATGTTTTGATTTATAGCTGCCGTAAACCATTCGAATAGAGTTTTGTTCACATTTTTCATTGTTTTGTTGTGTCCAGAAGTAGCACCAGTTTCGAACGACGTTATTATTGACTCTTTGTTTTTTAAAATTGTAGAAACCGTGTTCGCCGGAAGGCCATATTTTTCAGCCACTTTTTTGTTCTTTTTACCACTTTCAATTCCTTTGATTTTCTATAGACTAACACTTTAAAACACGTTTTGACGCCATGCTAATATTTAGTATTTACTCTACGAAAAGGCTATTCAAACTGAATAACAAATGTTACACAAACAAAAGTCAAAAAGAAAAAAGCACTTGCTTAACAAATAAATACTTCCCCGAATAAGATTCCCTGAAAAAAAAAAACAAAGCAACAAAACCAAGTGCATAATTTGGGATTTCCCCTAAATTGTTCGACTTACAGAAGCATTTGCCAAGTTTTTATTCGAATTTTGGAGAAATTCGAGTTAGAGAAGTTCGAGTTATGGAACTAAAAATGAGTGTATATTGCTGTCTAAACGCTATTGCCACTTTATTTAGCTCGATTTATAGAAAATTCGAGTTATAGAAGTTCGCGTAATAGAAGTTAGACTGTAGTTAACTAAGGTGAGCGAACTACAACTGAACAGTTTACTCAAAAGAATAAAAGCGCGCAACTCTAATAATCATGTTAAATGCATATATATGTAACAGGAAAAGTTGCTAAGCAAGTAGGGGTTTTCCAAATAATTTGAAAATTACAACCCGGCTAAAAAAAATATGTGTATTGATAAAATCACATTTTGAATACTGTTCCACAATTTTGTTTCTAGTTAGCCAAGGTGCAATAGAGTCCTTACAAAGGATACAGAATAGGGCTATGAGAGTAATTTTAAGGAGTAATTTATTGACAAAAATAAGGGTGATGATAAATTCGTTACACTGCACTTCGGACAGCGACTGGATGCCTTCTGATGTCGCAGAACTCCACCTGCACGACGAGGCGAGGTTTATTAAACAACCTCTGGACCCGTCAGCTTATCGACAGGCCCTGAGCGGCATTCACAGGGAGTCAGTCTCGAGTTATGTAGACCTGTGAATGCCGTTCTAGGCGCACAACTACCGGACATCGACGAGACGGAGCTTCATCTGCCTCGGGAGACTAGAACCACAATAGCCCTCTGGCTACTGCAACAGGTTAAACTTATACCTGAGCAGATTAGACGTAGATGTGCCAAATGAGTGTCCGGCATGCGGAGAGACACTCCACGACTCAAAACATCTCTTCGTATGCCCGGAAAACCCGACAACGCTAACGCCTTTGTCCCTGCGGACCGACACCATTGAGGCTGCACGGTTCTTATGGTGTAGCCGCTACAACAACAATGTTAAATTCGTTGATGTAGATGCGTGTGAAACAAAGAATATATTTGAGTCTACTACTATTTGTCATTAAAATACAACATAATCTCATGCCCTCATACTTAGCTAGGTATATAACAATAATAAGATGTATTTTACCTTATACTTTAAGAAACAGTGGCGACTTGAGATTAGCCTCATTTAGAAGTACAGCCTCGCAAAATAGTATAATTTATAAGGGGTTTGCATTGTTCAACGGACTACCCGATTCTGCAAAAGCAGAATTGGATATCAACAGGTTTAATTAGGTCAATTAATTGAAGTGTATGTAAAAGACAATTTTTGAACTGACTTCAAATTTGAAAAGAATTGTGAATTTAATTCAAATCTCAAAAATGTAAAGTTCTAATTTGGTTGTTATTCAACTACAGTTTGAAACACAATAAGCATGAATGTAAAAAAGCATTATTGTATAAAAATAAGTTAATAGTAAAAAAATATTTTTAAAACAAGTTTTCTAAATATGAACGAGATCGGACCATAAATATCCTCAAAAACTTTTATGGAGTTATTCCCTTTCATGTTATTAATATCCGTTCTAAATATGAACCAAATACGGGTTTTTCATATTGGTATATCGACTCGGGAGTGCAATGGGGTATGCAGTTACAGTTGCACGGCTATGCGTCCTCGTTCGCGCACTCTGGGCAATCTGACCAACCCATGTGCGAGATGAGGTCACTAGTCCGAGTGAAGCCTTGGGTCACGGCGGAAAGAGGCGGAGCTTCGGTGGGGCCACTCCGACTTATTCGGTTTAAGGGCTCACTGAAGTCTGCAGCGCCTGTTCGCCAGTAGGTGCGGCTGCGAGCGGACTCTGTCTTGGTGCAAACGACTGGGTATATAAACGTGTATTTGGTGGCGAAAACATCCCCGTCCCAGCAATGGGGTGTGCGCAGGGTTTGGGACCCGCCACGTATAAACCACTTCCAGTGAAGAAGCAAAGCAAAGGCTCGGATGAGACCTCCCTTATGATGACAACCACGGCAAACGATAAAATTAGTAGGTGACTTTAATGCGCACCACGATCTTTGGCACTCAAGCCTGTCAAACGATCGTAGGGGAACAGACTTGGCTGAGCAGATAGACAATTCGACATTCTGCACAATGAACGACGACGCACCCACCAGGATTATGGGTAACTGCAGTAGCTCGCCAGACATCACAATAGTCAGCGCTGGTCTGATAAACAGCATAAC